GTATGATTCATGGTCGAAACACATTATTCTGGAAGAGGGGGAGGAGAATCCATGTTTTGGGAAAGGTGTTTGGTATATGTGGACGGTATACTTGTACATATTTTACAGATTTATATGCTTTTCAAATTTAGGTAAAATATCGTTATGAACCATTTGTAGTGAAGGCCGAAGGTGACGTGAAAGGTATGAATATGGAAGGACGGCACAAATTGGTTTTAATTTTTCACGCATGTGATAAATACAATCTACCTAAGCCTAACAGTACTTGCCTAGAAATTCTGGGGGAGTTGATGAAGGTCTAAACAGAAGATCGATGCGAGAAGATATTTTTAGGCTGACTTGTTTGTCAAAGCTTACTAAAAGAAATATAAAATTATTAGCTTAACTATTATTTGCTTTATTTTCAGTTCTATGCAAACTTATTTGTCAATGGTTCTCCTTCTTTTTCATTTATTATTAATACATTACCTGCTATGCGCACGGATTTGTTGTTGTTTCCGTTGAACATCAAGCAATTCCTCTATGCGTACATTAGTGTGTGCCGATAATTGTTAATTTTCATTTCCTTTCAAGTAAATAAGATGTACACTCTCACTCAAAACTTGTCACTGGATAAGGTAATGATTCTATTGCGCGTTTGACTAAAATTCGGAATATATAATTCCATGAAACTAGTTAAATAAGGAATTTTAAATAGAATGGAATGTAAAGCGGAGGCATGTCATGTCACGTAGGCGACATCAAATTATATTCAAGGAGAGGAATGCTGCAACTGAAGTGACGGTAAGTATCGTCAGAATAAACCATGGACTAAATCTTACCAGGCTAAGCAAGACTTGCGCAAGAAATTTGATTTCTTAAGCACAAATTGCAGCAAATGGAAAAGTCATACAGGTATGGCTGGCTAAAGTGAACTGAATCAATTGCACGCATTTCGTTGACCCTGACAGTACTAATAGTTCGTTATTCGCTTTGGCATATAACACTTGTGGTGAATGTAAAGTAATATGTATATATAATAAGATTTTGAAATTGAATTTCAAAATATTTGTTTCGTGTCATGTAAAGTCGCCCGTCCTCTTATCGTTCGAAATAAAAAATTTTAATTATTGAAAATGTTTATAAATGGAAATAAACACACGTTTGGCAAGTTTTTAATGTCGAATTTAAAAGTAAATGAAAGATCAGTACGAGTACTTAAAATATATTAAAAATTGAACACAAGCATAATAGGTATGTAAATAATATAGCATAAGCTCTAATACGAATCTTGAATGCCTCTCATCTGTGGCAAATATATATAAATATAAAGAGCAGTTATCGTTAACGAATGACCTGATTGGGAAAATTTCTAGATAGTTTCAGTATAGCTTTTTTGCTAATTTGAATTTGAATTTGAAGTCTATTATATATATATTCCTTTGGAGTATTTGGAATATAGGCAGATTCATTTCCCACTTTCAAATGAAAGTCTGCAAATCAGCGACGAGAACTGCAACAAACTTTCGCAATTTTTCTGAGCATCAGAATTCCAACTGCCAATGTGAACAGTGAAACGGACGGACAAGATTAATATGTTAAAAGCAAACATAACCAACGCTATTTTACACAGTAGGAGAATTTCTTAAAATCCATGAAAAAAAAATGCGTTTAAAAAATATATTGGTGAACCGTGTTATTTCAAAATCGTGTAAAAAAAGAGAGCTAGGTCTCATGTCATCGCCATATCGCGGTGAACTGATATTTTGACACCTTCCCGCTTTTATTGCAATTATGTGGATCAGAATGCTGTGGATTATATGCTAGCTACTCATTCATTCAAAAATATATTTTAATGGCAAATTCATATGATAATATTAAGCTACATGCAAGATCAATTAAAGCCATCTAGCGCACGAATTTCGCGATAGTCCTACACTCCATAAGGCTTTTAATACTTGTCTATAGGGGTTGCATATAGCATGCTGGAGTTAGTTTATCATCATTTCGCTGTAGCGGGTATAAAAATTGAAGTTAATAAAAATTCAAGATAACTGAAATCAAAGTCCATTAAACTAAATTAAACCTCAATACATACATTTATGTTGATTGAAAGTCTTGTTTATATAATTAAGAATATGTGTGTGCGTATGCAGACATCAATGACAAATGAATTAGAATCATTTAAAAGCGAAAGCAAACTAGAACTGATAACGCAACACAAAAAATAAAACAAAAATGTTTATATTGTAATAAGTGCATAATAAGAAAGAATTAATAATGTTTTTAAATTATTTCGCATACAGATATTTACATGTATAGCATTGCAAAAACAAGGAAATATTTGCGATATGAATTAGCATCTGCTCGCTTACCTCTTGCTTTTCATCTCTTCTGGTCTCCTTTGCCGTCTGAGTAAAGACAGTTGTTGTTGTTTTTGTTAATTTCATTTGCTTAGGAATCATGCAATAAATAACGTTGTATACAAACACTTGTTGCCATTGTGTGTGCACTAAGAATCTTCCCCCTATTGCTTTCAGCCCTTTGCCCATTAATTATTTAATAATGATCAACATTCTGTTGTGCTTTTGTCTGTTTTGTATTTGATTTTACACTGTGGAACTTATTCATATTTCTTATATGGAATATATTTAAACACTTTGTATATATGTATATATTAACAAGAATAAAAAAAAAAAAAAAACAGAAAAAAAACGAGATAAAAAATAAAAGTTGTTTAAGTTTTACGTACATCGTAACAATAATCACAGACCGGAGCCTTTGCTTTCGCTGCCCAGAATGTATTTGTAATACATTTGATTCAATTGTTCCAGGAATATGAACGTTAACACGGTATGTGGGCCTAAACGGCAGTAATATGGGGTGAAACCTTTCCATAAGGCAAATAGTCCCTCATGACGGGCCACACGACCTAATACTTCTAACGTACCACGATATTCCGGTTTTCCATCAACGTATTTCTGATTTTGTATGCGTGTCTTAGCCATATCTAAGGGCATCGAAGTGATGGTTGTGAGTAGACCGGAAAGCATACTGGCAGCAAATTGTAGTTTAATACCTTCCTCCATTTTCAAAGGTCCTGTGCGGAAATAAGTCTTGAATTGGGAATACGAAGCCAATTGGGACATATTGACCACCATGGCGCGGCCCATTGTAGGTAAGCTGCCCCGCCATAATGTTGTCAAGCCTTCCTCGCGCGTTATACGGGTTAACGCGTTAAAGACATTGTTATAATTGCGCCGTTCGGCAATTGGTAAACGTCCATCGGATGCCATACGTATTAGAGCCACTTCGGCTGGCGTACCGACAAACGCGCCACAAGCTCCCGCTATCACACCCATACCCATACTAGCAGCTACGCTTGGATCCTTTTGGAAGTGCAATTTATACGCGTCATTCAGATATGTATAAACGCCCAAACGACTGGTTGTATACGTTGCCTGACGCAATAATGCCGCCCCTATGCCTTGATATAAACCAAAAGGGCCTTCTCGGCTCACCACGGTTTGCATGCAATGAAACGTATTACGAAATTCCTTTTTGCCACTACCAGCGCCAGAGATTTGCATGCGCGTTTTCACTAAATCAAGTGGTTGCACTATCATTGTAGCGCCCATTCCTGCCATGCCACCAAGCACAAATTTCATACCATTTGGCAGGTTTTTCTTAACTGTTTGCTGCTGCTGTTGCTGAGCCATTTGGCCACAAGTTTTGTGCAAGATTTCTCTTATAACTTTTGTGCATACACGATACTATCGTTTTGTTGTTTTTATTAATATTCACTTCCTAACACTATACGCGAGCACTATAAAATTTTATAAATATAACAAAAAATATACGCTTAATTTAAAAAAAATATTATTTGCAACTAATCGATCAACTATATTTTTACATTTAAAATTGCAATCATTTCTTGCTTTGTTTTATAGTGCAATCATATGTTCAAAACCACCTCTCACACACAAAACATACGTACCTCTCTCTTTCTTTAAATGTTTCTCTGGAGTAGCGTACGTATGAAACTGGAAAGGAACGAAGCAAATATGTTATCGAAATTGTAATAATAGTTATAGTAAAACCAAAAAAAACTACAAACCTACTCTGCGCAAGCGAAAAATTAAACTGTAGCGAAAGAGTATTATATTTATACTGAATGCTTAGAATACTCATCTTGAATAATATAAGGCAGGCTCTCAATTTTATAAAAATCGCCATAAATGAACAAAATCCAACAACAAAACTATAAACTTTTTTTTTTTCACTCTCAATAAAAAAAACGAAAGCACTGACTACGTCACTATTAAATATAGAATGTAGTGGCGAGTCACTACAGTCACTACTGGCAACGGCAATATCAACACAATAAATAAGATTGATCTTGTTAAATGTATTCAGTTTGTAGCACTACGTCACCACTTTGTCTCCAGTAGTGTACATAGTTAATTCATTTACCGACAGCTGTTTCTTTGTATTCTCTCACGTTTCGTATACTTGCCAAATCAAACAAATAAATAGACAGAGTGAGAGGGAGCGAGAGAGAGAAAGGATTGCGAGAGTTAATTCAAAAATATAAAATACTCATAAGAGAAATAAAAAGAGCAACAAAGTGTATATAAAGGCAAATCATCATTTAATTTTAACCTTGGCATTGAGTGATGGTAGCACGTTTGAACACGCTTTCACTTTGTAGTTTTTATTAACACACTTTGCATAGGTAAACAAATCTGTGTACAAAGTAATTAATTGTACAAGTATTTCTCTTCTTTGGTTTTATTAAAACTATGCATTTCTTTTAAAATAATCGTATTTTAGTTTCAATTTACAAAAAGCTCACAAAAGGCTGAATAAATCTGTAAACTTTTAAATTAATTTATATGTTGAATTTAGTAGAAAAATAAAAATAAATAATTTCGTTACTTTAAAAAGTTACGCAAAAACCTATCGACACTCAACTGGAATTATTACGAATCCAATACAAAATGCATGTGCCTTTAATAGTAAACAGAGAGGATAAAATTGAGAGACAATTTAATAAATGCCGGTATATAGTTATATATAAAGAAATGTGTGTTACTTTGTACTATAGTTTTGTACCATACACGGTTTAATAAGTATAAACTGCTCTTATTTTGTTTGTAACAATCATATCCTATTACAGAATCTACAAATTATTCAGCCTAGAGTTCATTATCAATATAAATATATATTCGTCTTTCTGCTCTCACTGTAGCAAGTGTCGAAACAATTGAGTCCATAAATCTATTTCGAAAATGAGCGTAATATCATCATGGTATCATTACATGCATTATGCTGTGAAATATCATTACATGCATATAAAAGAAGCGTAAGAATCTAATTATAATGGAAATTTCAGGAAGGGCTTGAAGTAACTTGGATCGAAAACAAACGCAATATATTTTCTACCTTGTGAATGCTACAAGTACTCTCATTGGCATTAATTAAAAGCTACTAGACATTTCTTTCAAATGGGTATAGTTTTCCTTCATTTGATAACTATAATTAAACTGTTCAAGTACACATATAATTTTTTATCCTTGATATAAAAAATTCACGGGAATATAAAGTGCGAATATGTCGTTAAGTACTGCGATTTTCTGTAGCTCGCTGATGTAAGAGAAAACTAAAAGTGTAACGTAAGCTAGATTTGAGTCTTTCTCGTTTCTTCGCATAGATTTCGTATGATTTATTATTATTATTATTATTTTAATTTTAGACTAATGAAATGAATTCTTAGACTAAAAAAAAGACATTGAGCACTAGCAACACAGGCTATCGGCTCTTCGTATGATTTAATTTAAGCACTTCTAAAGTAAATACCTTAAAAATAAACAGATTATAAATGTTCACAAAATTTTTCTTCGATGAACTTATTTTTTTATTTTGTTAAATATTTCATAAGCTGAAGTTATATATATATGTATACGTATATGTATATATATATATATATATATATATATATTTATGTATATATATATGTTTATATGAATATATACACTATAGGTTATGCACATAAATTCTATTAGGTCACCGCGATAAGTACATATATATATATAGTTACATTTCAAATACATACGTATATACATACTTATTTAGATTTACCCACAAATATAAGTCTACACATATATACAAGTAACAAGATATGGGAAATAAATATTATATGCTAGTAAATAACATAAGTGATACTTGCATTGAAATAGTTATTAATTGGTTTTAATGCTGACTACAACACTTCAAGAATTCAATAGATACTTTAATTTTTATATGCACATATATAAATAACCATGAAAATCTATTATTCAGCAGCCATGGTTGATTAAACACTGTTTCTGAAGTACCTTATATATGATGAATGGAAAGCATACATGTCCGTCCATATGTACTTGTATGTACATAATGAATTAACAGCTCCTTATTGATATGTATTAATGAATTCAAAGGTTTGTAAATAACTCAGCTCCCACCCCTTTCAAATTTTACACCATTATGAAGAAATTAAATGTTGAAATGTCTGGTTTTTTCCTCGCTCCAAATAAATCAATTTGTTTTATGGTTTAATATCCGCACAAATAATGGTCGACACTTTCATGTAAATTCATAGCATTTAATAACATTTTACAACTAACGGCATAAACCAACAAAAAATGGAACCAAACGAGATGTGAATAGTCACCAGTATGAGTTAGTAAAAAAAAAAAGAAAAGAAAATCGAAAAAGAATTTGTAATCGACTTAAGCCGACTTTTTTAGCTAACTTATTTCCGATAATTGTCTACGACATACAGCAAAATAAAGATGACAAATTAATTTGATTTATTGTTTCTGATATATATCGCATACCGTATGTATTTCAAAACGAAAAACTCTCTTTCCCTTAGTTCAATTTAAACAATTACTCGGGAAAATCTTGAAAATCGCTATAAGTTGAAAACCATAAATTAGAAGAAAAATGAAAAGTAATCAGTTTTCTTAGTAAATTCTGAATTTCGGATCTATTCGTACGAGAATGATAAGAACAAATTTGGAACTAAATTTAATCTCAAATTGGATTATCATTTCAGTTCATGGACACACGACGGAAGGATATGTGTATACAATATTCGACAAACATCTAACAAATCTTTGCACATTCGGCTTGATAGGCATAAATAGAAATTCAATGCAAACAAGTGCAACCTTCGCGTATGTATCTTTTTAACTGCGCACAACTTTACATGGTTGTTTGCGTTTCTTTGTTTATAACCATTGCATAAATGGCCTAAATATCTTTATTTATATACATGTTTTAATGTCTGTCGTCCCAGCGAGTAGATCTAGTAATTTCTGCATTTTGCAAGTATTGTTTAGCATTACGCTTTAAAGGCCAAGAGAAGTAGAAGAAATCGTTAAAGAGCAAAAAAAAAAAAACTTTCTTAATTAACCATACACGGATTCCTATATCGTCTCGCTTAAAACGGGCCACATTTGAGTCAATTGTTTTCTATAGCATCAATTATTTGGAATCTTCCGCTACGAAATATAAGAATTTCGATGCAGAAAAAGAGCTTTACAGAGACTTAGTAGTAGCCGCTATAAGAGTATAGGTATGTGAGGAAATTCAAGCAATGAAACGTGTTTCGAACATCTTCGAAAAAACCGGCCTCCGTGATACGGAGAGGATGAGCAATAGTCGACGAATTTTTTTCAATCTTTTTGCGTTCACTTACATATCCTATTTATATCGCCTAACCTCCGACAAAGTTACCAGCACTATAATTCCAAACAGACAGGCAAAGTAAAGCTTTCCGCTAATAGAGTTCTTTTGGCACACCATTCAACTTGTTCAAAGTAAGCAATCTTTAGACATCAGTGGGGCAAGTGTTAGCGATATGTAAAATTCATAGATAACGCATTCAGAAGGACAAGGGGCAGCTTTACTCAGCATCGTATAAGGTTGCATCTTCTTTTCGAAGACATCGATAGCGTACGCATGATTCCGTTATATGCTTACATATAATAAATCGATTTTTGCTGCTAAGTATCGTAGACACATCATTGAATCCTTTAAAAAATCGGTTCAGAATTAAGTGTTAATATCCTAAGTCTACTATTTCGAATTTTCTCTTTTGAAAAACAGTGGTGGCTTCACAGAATGGGGCAAGTTTCCAATTTGCTCTGCATGTGTTTTATAGGGATTATACGATCCCGTTTCTGATAATGAGGCTCTCTAACCTTTTCGAAGGAATTTCTTAAATTTTTAAAGCATATTCCATTAGCCGATACTAAAGTCTTACAGCACGTGCATCCGAAGCTATAGGCTTTGTTGGAAAATCCAGGACCGTTAAGTTTATGTGGACGGCTGAATTTGTCTTTTGTAATACGTACATTTAGCCAAGTTAAATTTAAATAATTAACAACAATAAAGATCCATAATTGTGTGATCAGAGCGTAGCAGAAAACAATTGCTAAATATGCCGCATACTGTCAAGTGAAAGGTGTAAAAAAAATCGTTTTAAGCTGAGTGCAATTTTGCTCTTGCTCAATATGCAAAAGGCACGGAAACTGTTTGCTTTTGTGTGAAGGCGTTCATACCGTACGCATATGACAAAAACAATACCAGAAATATTTACAACAGCACGACGACTGCAATATCTAGCAAATAAAAAAATTTATTTAAAAGGGGATATTATTGCATCTCTTGTGTCTTTGTCTTACTTACATATATATACGCATATTTTACGCATATATATGTACCGTAAGTATTGTATTTATGAATTTATGTACAAATATTTAACAGGAAAAACACATTTCATGAAATTGATATAAATGAAAATCCTATAAACGGATTTTTTGTTTGCCAATCTTGATAACGCACAACTGGGCAACAATGGAAATCCAGTAAGCGTTAATTTATAGCTTAACTTTTATAAATCTATTTAACTTTATTCGCTTTTTATACGATGTAACGAAATCGATTTCAGTTTTTTTTTTTTACAACAAAAAATTAAAAAATTCAATTTTAGATA